ATCTGAAGAAGTATTTCCAGTAAACTCTTTGTAATATATGAATGACTCTGTACACTTTTTTGATGTATATAAGAAAATCATGTGCTAAAGAGTCTCATAAAAAAGAACCGAGTACGTTAACTCGGTATCATATTAGTCTTTACATAGCCAAGTCTCTTAAACTTGGACAAGACTAACACTTCAAATTTTAAAGGATATTCTTGACTTAAACCGAGTTATATAACTCGGCAAGAATTACCTTTCTTGGTCAAGTTATTAACCTTCGCATAACTAAGTTCGAAACACTTAGGAAGGTTAAGAACATCTATAAAAGTTGGATTAAGTATCTTTAAATTCGAATCCTGAAGATTGATTTGAATAAGATAAAAATCTAATTTTCCATCAAAGTCGATGGTATCCACTCATAAAAGTCAGTACTTGACCGACTTTTCAACACTTTAAACTATTCAGCTAAAGTAAAATGACATGCTGGATATAAATTGTGAATGAAAAGAGTACGAAATAAAAACAAATTTTTCATTCATACCACTTAATAAAAATTATCCATTACAATAAACTATGTGTCTCGACATACCGAGAACACATAAAAAAAAAAAAAAAAACTAAGACGATTTCTCGGGGTTTGGATCTTCTTTCACTTCTTCCTTGGCATCTTCTTTTAAAATTTGCTCATACATGACCCGGCTGATGATGTCAAAGGCTCGATCTTCTTCAATCTTTGCTGCATTTTCCATCTCGGAAAGGGTCACCGGAATGTGCTCATTCAAGATTGGATCCTTTTCTCCTTCAGGCAACTCAGTAGCAGGTGGCTGATTACTTTTCTGAGATAACTCGGCAACCTTTCTTTCCAGAAAAGCTAACACTGCCTTTCGAAGTTGCTCAGGAGTCAATCGAAGGATTAAAATTGTGACTTTTGATTTTATGAAGAAAAAATATACGGACTTCCTTGATGTCGTACAATCCTTCATCGAATCGCTCAACAACCCAACGCAGATTAAGACATGTGTTCATCTCAAATTCCCGGTCTTCGTTGTCAGAATCAGAGTCGGCCTTAGTCTTAAGTCTGTTAGCCTCGGCTTCAAGGATTCTTCCAGCCCGGAGACCATCATTATACTTCTCCTCAGCAAATTTGAACTTTTCTTCTTGAAGTCTATTGAGGTCGGCACGATGATCATTTCTGCTCTTCACCAATAGCTCTTCAACCTCGGACCGACTTGCCCGAGTAAGTTCATGAGCTTTTTGTTCTTTATGAATAAGGGATTCACACCGAGAAAGCTGTTCTTCAAGCATTTTAACACGCTGCTCGGAGGTGATCACTTGGCTAGTCAGCTTCAACACATCAGAGTCCAGACTAGCCTTCTCCACTTTCAAGGTCTCGATTTCACCCTGAGCAATCGTAAGCTGCTCGGTTTGTTCAGCAATCTTGACTTGCAGTTCTCTCTCCTTTGTCGCTGCTTCCTCTCTCAGAGATGCAAGAGCTCCATCTCTGAGTTCCAAAGTGGGCCTTTTCTCATCCACTTGCGCCGCATTTAGTCGGAAATCATCTTCGGCCATTATTAAACTGATGAGAGCACGACCGAGACAAGCCTTGGCGTATTTAAATTTATAAGTACTTGGGAGAGAGGACACCCCAATCCCAGATCTCGGATCCCACACCATCATCGGGACCCGAGCAGCATCAACAACATGGCCAGGTAGTTCAACCGTGCTTGATATCTCGGGAATTTCTACCGATTCAAAAGTCGAGAACCATTTCTCAACCGACTCTCGAGGCTGTTTAAAATTTAGAGCCCTTTCCTCGTCGATGGGTAGAATGGATCGATCAACCAAAGGTTCTTTCTTCTTTTTTCCCCGATCGCCGACGTCATGTTTCTTTTTGGATCGTTCTTCCACGACTGGAACGTTTTCTACACGCCTTTTCTCGACCGAGTAGCTGGAACTTCACGTTCTGCGACAATTTCTCGGTCGCCATCAGGCTCATCAGAAGCAACTTCGATAACAGGCGGAGCTTCCGCTGGAATGGCCTCAACAACTGGCTCAACTTGAGATAAATCAGCAGTAGCAGCAGCGATAGCAATCATCGGACCCGCTGCTGCAATAGCTAATGAATCTGGTTGCGACATCTCGGTAGCAGCTGCTGACGTTGCGCCATCACCAACATCGGTTTTCGGAGGATTCATGATTGGATTTTCCAAATATGCCTTCACTAACTTCTTGCGACCCATTCCTGATAAGCGCAATTCTCTATTCTTGCCGACTTTGGTTCGGAGCTCTAAGTTTGGACTCTTTTGACGAAAAGCTTTAGCGTCACGGATGGTCTTAAAACCGAAAACTCCGAGAAGCGGATAGTAAACTGCAAATACAGAACCGAGTTACGATAGTTTTTAAAAGTAACCGACTTCAAACAAGATTGAAAAATTTATTCAAATTTACCTGGTTGGAAAGAACCGTCAGAAATTTTAGGGCAAAGACCAGCAGCCTTCAATCTTGTGTCCTTCAAAATCAGCTTGAAGCTACTCTGTGCTTTCTTCAACTTGAATAATTCGGTAATTCTTTCCTTCAATGTTGCACCGAGGTTTGACCCTTTGCTTTTGGCTGCAAGTAATAAAAGTGCTGACCTGTTAGTACAAAAATAAGCAAGTCAGGACAACTCGGTAAAAGAAATAAAAGAAAGGAACTTACAAAATGCAGAATTAATATTGATGGGTATTGTCATCCCATCAATTAAAGGTTTCGAAAAATTCGAAGTTTGCCAGTCTCCTCCAATCCATAACCACTCCTCTTGAAATCCATGGAGTGACTCAGGGATTTCAGTAATTAATTCACCAATTTTTAATCCTTCTTGGGGCCTTCCCGCGCAAGCATAACAAATCAATGGATCAGCCACTTGTCTGTCGGCACACCGTCTGAAAGTGTACAGACTTCTAATTTCTTCCACTGTTGGCATATCCCAGCCCTTTTCTTGTAATATCACCAAAAGACCGATGATCCTCTTCCAAGTATTTGGTGCTATTTGACATAAACCGAATCCCCAATTTCTCAAATAATCAGTAATTATTGCTGGGAGTGGAAATCGAAGTCCCGATCTTAACGAGTCCGCAAACACACCCACACAACCTGGAGGAGGACACGTTATTCTTTCGCCTGGATAAGGAGCAAATAACTTTACCGAAGAAGGAATGTAAACTTCTCCTTGGAGATTGATGATATCCGCATCAGTTAGAATACTCGGTTCACCTCTATACTCATCAATTGGTTCAGGCCATCGACGTGCTGGACGTCTCCAATAGTCGGGAAGCGACATAACATCCTCTTCAACTCGTTTATCTTCTTCAATAATATCTCTATTGAGATTTAATCGCTTAACTAGAAGAGGATCCCACCGATAAAACTCAAGAGGCAATTCCAAATCCTCATCGGTGAAAATTGTAATTTCAGAAACCGTACGGCTGCTGCTATTTTCGGTCTGAGAAGACATCTTTTTTGAAATCGATAAAAGCGAAAGCAAGTACAAAATTGATGAATAAGAAAATATAAAAGATTAGGGCAAATTCTTACCGAAATTCTCGAAAGCCCCGAATCGAAGAAAACACAAACAAAGTGCACAAGAAAGAGATTGAAAGAAAAGGTCAAGGAAGATGGAACACAGAAGAAAGCAGGAGAAAAGATTTAAGGTACAGAAACTTTTCACATGTCAAAACCGACTAAAATTTATAGGTTTTGATTTATAACCGTTGGAGAAATCTGGAAATGGCGCGTGTAACAGACGTGTCTCGAAACGGTGTAACATTGCAGTAATCATTAATACACGTGGACATGTCCAGAAACGCCATGTCGTTACGAATTTATATCCGTTGGACCCATTAAATGCGGACACATCTTTTGAGAGCTGTCATGTCAGACCAAGTACCATACAAGAAATTGCAAATAGAGCAAAGTACTCTCATGTCGGTAGTCAGAGAAAACCAAGTCGGAATAAAGCGGGACAACAAACGACATCAGTAGTCATTCAATAAAGTTCAAAATACCTACTAATGTCGGGGGCCTCACTGTTGATATCCAAAAAGGAGCTGTTGATATCCGACTTGATTATATAATTGAAGGTGGTGATTAATCACTTCATTGAAGAAATAATCTTTCAGAAGAAGATGAACTTAGGACAAGTCGGTATTCATTAGAATTAATTACCGACTTCCGAGATTGTCAAAGATACCGACTATTGAGACAGATGCAAATAAACCGACTTCAGCTCAACAAATATTATGACAAGTCGAATCAAGTTTCCTCTATTCATACCGACTACTACAAAGTTCAAGTTTCTAGGTAGAAAACAAAGCTGTAAACATCTGATTGGACCAGCAAAACAAGAAAGCAATCATTGATGTCCCCCACCGCTTAAAATGAAGCAGCTCAGCAATAAATACATTCTTATCCATTTCGAACAAGAAAACAAAAACCACCGTACTATAAATAGCAGAATTTATGATAGTACGAGGATCTTTTTCGACACATGGTACATGGACTTAAGATGATCTCGGTCAAGAATAAAAAAACCGACTCCTGTACTTGTGAATATATCAAATAAAATCAAATTTTACTTTAATCTTTGTTAAAACACACTCAGCTGTTTGTAATTTTAAGTTGTTAATTTCATACAACAACAGATTTGTTAAGACTTTTTAAGATTTGGTGAAATTTCTAAACAAAAAACCTTTACGAAATTCTACTTCAAATTCTACCTCCAGACTTAAGATTTTACGGAATTTCTCCAAAAATTAAAAATTTTAACAAATCTAAAATATTAAAAAGTCTCAAAATGTCACTTGAAATCTGAATTGAATACACCCTCCTATATAAATTGTCAATGAAACTAATGATATGGTGATTCTCAACTGTATCAAGTGCAATAAGGAAGGTAGGGGAAAAAAGATAGGGACAAACTGTATAAAAAAGTAAACATATACAAAAGATAATTAAAATATAAGTTAATAGAAAAATAACTAAAATGAAAAATTGGTAAAGGGAACCAACAAACCTCGGAACAAGTGAAGTTAGCGAATTCATTTAAAATGCTCCTGAAATAAACGAACCCAATCATTTCAGTTTTCCATTTTCCTCCAAATGGCGACCTCTCGATCCGGCGCCGGCGGTAAAATTGTCACGAATCGCCGGAAGCAGCGGCTTTCCACCACCCCTTACGATCGCCCTCCACCCCAACTGTCACCACCTCCTCAGCCGAAAAGCCCTAATTGGTTTACGGGCGTCGTTGTTCCGTCAGCTCGTTTCCTTGTTTCGGGCGCGGGGAAAATCCTTAGTTCCATCTTCTCCGACTCGGAATCTTCATCCTCTGAAGACGATGAGTCCGCTTCAGGTAATCATCTGTGGCCGCTCAATTTCTCACTGTATCCGAATCATCTATATATATGTATGTATACTCATGCATATATGATTTCATGAATGCGATTTCCACTTAGAATATTATTAGGTTGAAGCCTGTTGTTGAAGTTTTATGTGACGAACTTTGGTAATCCAATGTAGGAGAGATGCAGGCACGAATGTGGGTGTAAAAATATGATGTCAAATCCTTTAAAAGTGAACTTGAGTTTTATGTGATAAAGTTGGGTATTGGAGAGATGCAGACAAGAATGTACGTGAGAAAATATAATGTCAAATCACTTTAACGCAATGAAACATAACTCTGAGAATATCGTGAAGCTTGCCTTAGTGTGAGATTGCTTCATTAATTGCAACTGCAGTTACTAGATTCATAATTCAAAAGGGTTGAGAATATGAAAGATAGCAATAGGTTAGTCAATTGAGAAGGAAATTTAATGGTATTATCCCTTACAAATTTGAGTGATGGTGCATTTGTTCACCTTTTACTCTGTATTATCTTGTGTTGCAGATGATGATATAGGCAATGAGAACCTTCATGAAATTCTCTATAGTGGAGTTAACACATCAAACGAGGTAATTTATTGCTTTATTTGTATTCTAACATTTCATAAGTTATTTAGTGAATTTAGCAATCCATATGTGTTATTTAAGCTTCTACTATTTATTCGACGGAAGAGAAAGTAGAATTCTACTTCTGCGAAAGAGAAGGTATAATTCTACTGCCTGGAGGACATATTGCATCATGTGGGAGGATGACAATCTTCATTTTATTTTGCATGCCATATATGGATTTGTTGTTTTTTGTTTCAGGATCGTACAAAAATCATGAACCTTGTCATGTCAGAGATCCCCAAGTCTTATGCTTCTCAAACATTGCTCGAAATAAATTCTTAATGGGTCAAGATTTGGTGGAACAACTGTTTCAAATATTGCACGAAATAAATTCTTAATGGTGTAGATTTGGTGGAACAAATTAATTTGGATTTGGATCTAGTCAGCACTCGTTTATTTATTTGTATGATATATGTAGTTTGTTTGTGAAATTGAACTTAGTCATAAACCAAAGGTTGGCATTTGTTATACTATATGGAAGAATATATGATTTCACTCTCTCTGAAAAAATATGATTTGTTAGGGATGTACATTGTTAGTAACTTTTTTTTTGTAAGCTTTCTTGAGAATAAAATGTGAAAATGTATATTGTTAGTAACTTTTTTTCTGAGCTTCCTTGAGAATAAAATGTGAAAATGTATCTTATTTGGCTTAGTTTCTTAGAAAGACAGATAGGAGTTGAAAATGAATCTTATTTTGTTTAGTTTTTTAGAAAGACATATAGGAGTTCTAAAGGATATTGTTATATATTTTAGAAAGACAGCTAAGGTTCTAAAGGATATGATGGGGTTCTAAAGGATATGGTTACATATAGATGCTCTTTCACATCCTTATCATGTGAAGTTGACTTAAAATTGTTCTGGCAATCAAGCATTTGTTTTGTTTCTTTTTTATGTTATAAAAATTTGATTTTATCTTGAGCGTGGACAGGAATCTCAGTTGAATACATGGAGTAGTGACACTAAATGGACTATTGAGCAGCTTATTTTGCAAGAGACTTTTTCAAGGTATTAACCTTTGAAGTGTATGCATTGTTAATGTTTCAAGTTATTATTTGCATTTTTTACCTTATTCATTCAATAATTTGCTTGTGATATGGAAAAAGTTTTTCTGAATACTTATGATATTTACATTATGCTATTTTATTATTAATTTTTTTCAGGGAAGAGTGTGATAAGTTGATAAAAGTTTTAAATTCCCGGGTTACGGTAGCTGGAGAGAAAAATTTACCTGCTGAGAAGACGGTTGACAATGGTATTACTTTTTAAGAACTTAGACAATCGTATCCAATGCGGATTTTCTCATTCACTAATGCAATTCTCATCTTCATGAGCAGAAGATATTGACATGTACAGTAAAGCTATTCAAGAAGCTAAGAAATGGTTTCAAGATAAGAAAGTAGGTTCAAGTTCGGTGGCAGAGTTGGCCCACGAGATCAGTAACATTAACTCTGGACATGTTAGAGCTGATCCTTGCTTACTCTTTTTAGTGTTATGTTGCTGTTATCATTATTCACATATGAAATATGACATAGGTTTTGTATGTGCATTGATTATCCTTTCCTCACCTAATGATTTTCTCAATGTATCCGATAATCACAAAGAAACCATGACCGAGAAGAGAATAAGGTGATGATAATCAAATATCGTTGTTTCTACCTAATGCAGGTGGAAACTGGAGGTGGTTCTCCGGTAGATGTCGCTAGATCCTATATGAAGGATAGGCCACCTTGGACATCTCCTACAAAAAGTGTTGATTTAAGAACCCCGTTGAGGAGAATGGAGCTTTTCAAAGAAGGAGCTTTGTATTCGGTTGGCCAGGATTCTCTCTCTTCATCAAATGTTCATTTGTAATTGTTTCTTTTTAAATATTCATTTCTGCAGCAGTGGTTTTCCTTGTTATGCGTGTCCATTTCACGAAAGAAAAAAAATTGAAAGTTGTATAGTTTGTACTGTTAAGGCAATGTATTGTCTCCATCTCATAATATCTTTTACTCTGTTCCTTGATGTTATCATTCTAGTCTTGTTCGCCATGGCACCATAATTTAATTGCTGCGTGATTGGAATGTGTAGAAACGGAGTTCTATCTCTGGATCATGGAATATTCTTGAAGAACTACGGCGAGTCCGCTCAAAGGCAACGGAAGATATGCTGCGCACCCCACCCTCCAAAGTCGATCCATTGTTTGCAGTTGGACAAAATAAGGTGGACTCTTCAGGAGCTGGTCTAACATTGTTTGGTATGGGAGAGAAAATTTCTGACACAGATTCTTCAAGAGAAACTAAAAGAGCAGATGCAGGAGTGAGTTCTGAACCTAACCCTGCAGGTCCGTTTTTTTCTTGCTTATATTCATCTACGCTCATATAGTTTGGCCATTAGTTTAGACATGATAGGATATTTTTTTAGCCATTAGCTTAGACCTGATAGGATATTTTTGTGCATAAGGGTAGCTTGAAACCTTGAAGTGTAATATTCATTCATAATACACGTAATTGACCTGGTTTCCTGGCTTTGAAGACTGACGTGCAAACAAGCAAGTGGTGCATATTGTTGTGCTGTCTCCTTCTTTTGTCTAATGTGTCTGGTTACGTTTCGTTTTGCTTAGCTTTGTCCTTTTACTTTATTATTTTAGATTACCTGTTTAGTCTCAAACTTTAATTTGTCAACCCCTGTCAACCCCCATCACAACTCCAGGCCTTTATTTTTTGTTTCTAGATTTATAGTTTTAGGGATGATTATAAAAAAATATCATGAGGTGGTAAGGGGGTTGTATTCAATTAGGACTTTTTGAGACTTTTTAAGACTCTTGAAATTTTGGGGTATTCAACTTTTAGAGACTCTCGATAAGTTTACATGTATTCAATTAAAACTTTCCAAGAGTTTCTAAAAGTTGTCCGTTATTCAAATTAAGAAGATTTTATGAGACTTTTAAAAGTGAAGGATTCTTGGAGACTTTTTTACCAAAAGTATAAGGAAAAAATACTTGTGAAAATCTCACCAAAATTGTGAGATTTTACCTGACTCTCTCATACCTTTTCTCCAGCTTTTGGTCTTCTCACCTTTTCTCCAGCTTTTGGTCTTCTTCAGCTTTTCTTCAGTAACCTCCTGCTTTGTTCACCTACTTGGGTTTGAATGCAAACTAATAAATAAAGCCAATAAGTTATCTTGTACCCAACAAAAAGTTTATTAGTGATCAGGAAAAGTTTTAATATCAAATAATTAATTCGATAACATTTTTTTTTCTTTTCCTCCTGCTGTCGGGGTGTGTGTATGGAAACGAGTCATGTTTGAAAGATAACAAAGCTTCCACAAATTTGTAGAATATTTTTCATGCTTTTTTTTATTTTTTTCTATTATCTTCGTTCAAACTCAATAGACAATGTTTAATATCATAACACATTTAAAATTAATATTATATTTTTTAATTATTAATTTGACTTTATTGCTATTATTAATAATGCACATAATTTTTTTTGTAAGCATTTCATATAAATTTAATTATTATTATTATTATATTAAGAATTTTATAAAAGTATTAGAAAGTCCTAAAAAGTTCACATTGAAAGTCTTAAAAAGTATTCATAACAATCTCACAAAATCCACAAAAGTCATTAAAAGTTGCATAAAGTTCACATAAGTCATCCATTTTAAAAAGTCTTAAAAAGTCTCTAACAGTCCTAATTGAATACAACCCCTAAGTGTCAAAGATCCCAATTATTATTTAAAAATTACAAAGTTACAGTTAAAACTAGCTAATGGCGACTAAAATATGGCAACTCCATTTATCAATATTCCTTCCACAGGTCCAAGTCCACATAGCACTAATGGAGTCCCGTCGACTGAAATGGCTGAAGCCGGCGAAAAATTGAATGCGAATGATCCATCGCCATCTCAGCCCAGGTGGAAACAAATTTTATGTTTTCGATGATCTTTACTCTTTGGTCATGATTCAGCTAATCAGCGTACCTGTGCTAGATTTTCCAAATAAAACATTCTCCTGTCATGCAGCTTTCCTGCAGGGCAAAACTCCGAGAAACATGAAGAAACCAATAATTCATTTAACACTGAGAACGGCCACAATTCTTCGGATACTTTTAATGTGGAAGGTGAGTTTGAGCTTCTGAACGAAGTTTACATTGAGGTCCCCATCATAACTGAAACCGACAGCATGGCAATTGGGTCTCAGAACAGCTTGGGTTTGCAGTATGAGGAACTGGCATTAGATACGGCTCAGCTGTACTCGGAGGATGAGAAAGTGGCCGGAAAGCCACAAATGAGAAAATCGGGTAGGAACATTCGAAGGGGCAGAGGAAGGGGTAAATGATGGGTGGGTGTATTTAGTGCCGTGTTTTTATTATGCTTTGTACACTACTTTAGGAAGAAGTGTGCCTTTGTCGGGGTTTAGGATCTCGCTTGTTTTTTCTTTTTTATTTTTTTCCCCATTTTTATGTACTGTAGTCTTGAAAAATTTACAGTATTGGTGCGGTTAATTTGTTAGCTGTTTTATGTAGAAGCCATGTGATTCTTGCAAAGAGAGCGGCTTGTTGTCGTGTGTTTTTTCGAGAAACTGGCATGGTGAGCTCTATTTTAGTTGGATAATTTGTAGCTGTGTCATATTAGATTCGACACTCTTGCTAAGGTCTTAATTCGTATGATAACTGAACTCTCTCTCCCGTTCTACTTGTGTGCTGGCACCTTCGTTTGGGTTTAGCTTTTTTCCTTGGCATCTTTATCTGGTTTAGCTGTTGGGTACTTAGGCGACTTAGTTAGTTGCAACATTTTAAAGCCTTTGGGGGGATTTAGTGTATTATTAGTTGTGTAAACTAAATATCCTGCGAGTTTGGTGTCGATAGTCTTGGCAATTCGGACCTGCTAATGAAATGGAGTTTCTCGATGCTACATTTGGTTTGATTGAAACGGTAGATTTATCTTACATTTTCTTCCTTTTTGTCGTACCTTATATGGTGCAGTAAAATTTTCCCAGAATTTACGTTGTGTAGTTCGAAGCCCAAATGTATACATAATATGGTCCGGGTGAAGTCGAAGGTAATGCAATTGTGCCAAAATCCCCCCAGCTGCGCGTTCAGCTAAAAATTATTGTAAACTAATAGATTAGAAAGAAAATTTAAAATATTTATGATATACGTTATTGTAAATTATAAGAAAAATAAAATAATATTGACATAATTAAAAATTAGTATTTTTTTTTTACTTCAAAATTATATATATTACATTTTTTTTTTTCAATTAACTGTTGATTATAATATTTGCTACAATTTTTCACCTTTAACATAACTTATTTATAAATCGAGATAATATATTGTAATAACGTATGAATAAAAGAAGATAGAGATTAATATTTTGTGCCTACTAGTTATTGATAATATTTGAATATATTAAATTTTTAGTATCCTCATTATAAACTTAAACTCGAAAATGACAACTATTTTGTAAAGAGTCAAATAAACATAAAAATCTCCATATATTAATTATTATATGTCATAAAATAAAAGAAAATAATAATAATATCAATATTCAAAATTGTTTTTGTACTAACCAATATTCCTTCATTAATTGCTTTAATACGTACAATTTATAATTACTGTCCCGTGCATTGCACGGACTACGTACTAGTCTCTTACTTGTTGATTTATTTTTTCTTGTAATGAGTAATAGGACCAACACTTGGTTGGCTTTCAATTTTCACATCTAGAGAACATTGTTATTATTATTCAATCTTGTATGAAAAAAGTGAACACTCTGAATAAATAAATAAAAATGTTTAAGTATTTTCAATTTGAATTGAGAAATTAAGAGTTGCTGTGTACAATTTTTTCTTTTGTCACGATGTACGTTTGATGTTGATAACCTCAAGGTCTAAAACCATTTATTGATTTATTGTAAATTTTCAACTTAGAAAAATAAAATGATACAAATTAGTAAAAAATAATTTTACTTAAAAACGATACAAAATATAATAAATATAATAATATAATAGGACAAGAGTAGCATGAGCGAAGAATGGTTTGAAATGTTAAATATAATAATAGAATATATATTTTTTAACATTATATAAAATCTTGTTTTCTATAAATGTAATATTGAGTTTGATGAATGGAGTATATGAGGGAGGATAAAAAGGTTGTGAAGATTAGAGGAATACGATTCCGACTCAAACTTGAACGTAACACAGCCTCCAATTGATTTTGTGCCATTCCTTTTGTTGTTGGGTGTAGTAAAGTGCTATCGCCCCACTTGTGCACTATTTTGAATTTTTGAGTATAACATGAACATGTTGGCATCACAACAATATGCTTAACCCAGTTGTCAGAAAAAGGCTACTTCTTTTAGTTCTATTTCGCGTCATTTTTTTCTCGTAATAATGACACAGCGCAATACAACAAAAATTATAATTGCTTTATCGGACTATCTGTCAGTTGCATTATGTTATGCGCGTGTCGAAAATTCCAAACCTTTCGTGAACTATATACTATTCTATAATACCAGTCCACTTTTTTCAAATAATTTATGTATGTATAATTACTGGTTCATTAGTATTTAATAAAACCTATTAAATTATACTTATGTGGCAATTAATATAGCTTTTTTCTTCTAAAAATCGTTATTTTTTATTTATTTAACCTCTCATTTAATTATTAGATAATCAACACACTGATCACTTCAAAATTATAAAATTATTTTAAACTTTTGATTTACGTACAGCTGACCATATAATGTGTTAGACTATTTAACGTGATTAGATGTTATTGTTGTGGTTACATTTAAATTAACTTATTTGGAAAATAAAGAACCTATTTCAAATTCATAAATAAATAATAAATAATTCACAAAAAAAACACATACCGAAATATACATTACGTCCAATATGATAAACACAATTTAAAAAAATAAATATTTCAGCTCCTTTAATTGTAAATTTGGCCGACAAAAAAGTGCAAGAAAAAATCATTAATCATTATATGCATACAAATAACTCACAATACTTTACTTATATCTGTGCAAATGCTAAGATCGAATACTAGTAATATAGAAAAGAGCCATACTTTAAAAAATAATATTGACATTTTCTACATATTCATACACACAAAATAATTTCATACAAAAGAGCCATACTTTAAAAAATAATATGAATTAAAAAAAAATCTGAATAAATTTGTATTTAATTTGTTAAAAAGATATAAATAGACAATTTGTGTTTGTCAAATCATGGTTTGGTTTACTCGATAGCTCGTGTTACTGTAACTGTTTAAGCATTATTCAATCCAAATTTCGCCTTCTTAATAGGTCCAAAAGTTGGATAGATAAGAAATGATCCAATGCTAAAGATGATGATGATCACATTCCATACCAAATACCAATTCAGTTTCTATGTAAATACGTGTTCAGTCTCTCCGTCTTACATTGGGAAATTGCACTAAGATGCAAGCTTAGACACTTGTCCTTTTAATTTGTAACATCACTTATCCAACTTATAATTTTCATGCAAACTATTTTTTGTGAATAAAAAATAGGCATGTTTACCGCGCCCCATTGAAGGTGACCATACTAATACAAGATTGCCGTATTCCAAAGCAAATGTTCAAATGCGAAATATATTCCAATAAAAAAAATCTAAAATGTATTACATGTTATGACTTTTTCAATGGTGTTCAAATTAAAGGAAAAGATTGGATATGTGTTATGTTAGAAAAAATTTGATTGATTACATAAAGTGGATTAGAGAGAAAAAAATTATTTCGATATAAAAATGATGTAATTTTGGGTTTCTAAATAGATATAAGATAAAATGTAATAATTAAAATTTATGTGATATAAAATAGTAAAAGAATAATTATAAATCATTGCTAGTTAAAATATGTGAGTGTGTGAATAGTGAATTTGTTAGAAAATGTGTAGTACTTATTGTTGGTGGGTTGGGTACACTCGCAACACGTGGACACTAATGTAATTACTTTATTAGATTAACAAAGTAATTACAAAACACAATATGGACGAGGTTACAATACTTCACTTATCAAGATCAAAACACCCTATCTATGACACTCACTCACTCTTTTACTTACACTCTTGGATGTTTGGATGATGCTTGGATTATTGGGATGCATTGCAAATGAGGTGGTCTTCTCTATTTAAAGCCACCACCTCCTCTAAAGGAATTCTCTAGAACATCTAATGTCTTGGGCATTCTAGATACTTCTATAAAGCTCCTACACACATATCCTTACTACAATTCTCTGCAACTTTTGGAAAGGCTCTAGAAGACTCCATTACTCTCAAAGGTTCCACATGCTTCTAGATCCTTCTACAATATTTCGGAACCTTCCACATTTTTCCGGGTCGTTCTAGATGCGTCCGGAACCTTCCACAATGTTCCACGACGTTCCACATTTTTCCGGATTGTTCTAGATGTTTCTGGGTCCTTCCCAAAGGAAGTGTTGATATTTTAACAGTTATATATTTTTCTATTGTGTTGAAATGAGAAAAAAAAGTGGGAATAAATGATAGTAATATTTTTTTTCTTGACAATATTTATCCAAGAGAAAATCAGATAAAATATATAACTAATCACACACTACAATACCCAGTTGAAATATGTAATTTTTATTGGAATTTTTCTTTATGTCTATAATTTTGAATATTTTTGTTTTGCTTTTCATTAAATGTTCATCCAACATTATAACATTAGAATAACATTTGAATGTGATATTTGTTGTTGTGTAATTTGTTGAATCGGTGAATTTTGACTTTTGTCACATGTATACATTTTTTTGGAATATCATATTTTTCAAAATAAATTATTTCATGAAGTATTAAATTAACTAAAAATACATTGTATTAAACAAAATAAGTAGACTGAATATGGATTGACACAAATTTACTGATGATCAAAAGTTAAAATGTCAATAAAATATCACACCTTTTATTTAAAAGGATTAATAGTGGTTCCTCACTTACTCCCGATATGATTCGAACTCGTGACTTATTTAAAATATTTAAAATAGAAAAAAAAAACTAATTCACCAATTCAATTTTTTGGAAAAAAAAGATAGACAAGTATTTTGGAATTCTTTGTACCGATCTAATTGAAGACGACAGTCGTGATTTGAGCCAAGGGTTTTTCAAAGTGAAAATGAAAAGCAATCACATATTCACATGCTTTTGGATAGGTAAAAAGGTAAGTTTCATGTGAAGATCATTAATACAAAAGTGCAATGAAAGATTATGACCCAAAGCCCAAAGGTTCTCACGCCCACGAGTGTCATGAAGAGATGACATCTTTGGGAAAAGAAAAAACGAAAGATTATAATTAAACATTAACCATTAGTATATGTTATTTATAAGTTGAAAACATTATTTTATCAAAGTGGAAACTTACAAATTGGTCTGTTTGTGTTCTCTGTCATTATCTCAATCCAAAACCAGTGCATCGGATACACGAATAATTTGAAAGTGACCCATAAAACAATTCTCTTTTGAGTTGTTATTTTGTGGTACCACCAATTTTTGCGCAACATGATGATTTGATTCTTCTATATCCAAGCCTCTGGAGAATAGATGCTATGTTTGTTCTATCTTTTCTACATAGTACGGTTTTTTATTCCCCACTCATTATAAGTAATTAAACTAGTATGTATGCGGTATCTTGTGCGATGCACGAGACAGAGATAATAAATGGGTTATTTTCACAAACTCTGTCCGTTTAAGTCTATCATTTATTTTCCACATCTTTTGATCAGTATTAAGTCTAAAATACAATAGGGTTATAATATATTTTCCACCTCTTTTAGGCTATGTTTGGTAAAACTAGCTGATAAGCTAGTTTATAGCTTATGACTATGTTTGGTAGACAAATAAACTAGCTTATAGCTTATTTGGTTAGCTTATAAGCTCCCTGTA